TAGAACACTCCATCCACACATACACGACGGTACTCGCGGTTCAATTCAAATTCGCGGTCTACATAACACAAGCTGGTTCCCCAGTACCCTCCCCCCTTCCCCCAGGGTGGCAGTCGTCACCCTGGGGGCCCTACGCTGTCCCAGAGGACGAGCGGATAATCTCATTCTCGTCCCCACCTACTCGAATTATGATCACCTACCGTACGTCAGCTGAAGACTTTGGCACGGGGAGTCGCGCTTTTATCGGGTCGGTCCACGACACTTACCTATGTCTCGACCGGACTCTAGGTAGAGTGTCATCCTCTCGAATTACTGGTGAAATAGCTTTCCTTCAAGTAATTCCCAAGAAAGAATTAATTTGCAAATTTATTTTCCAGAACTTAACATATTTTTGACAAGAGAGTACAACGAAGCAATTTTCCTTACCGTCGCCCTCTATCGAGGGCCTCGCAAGCTCAACAATCGTCGAAAATTTCTAAGTTTTTATTTTCGGTTAAATAATTTAGTTGAGTCGCTCGTAATTATTTTGAATTCCAATCGTCATTCTTTCATTATCTATCTATTTCGTTGGCCAGATTCTAAGTATTTATTCTTTAAAATTATTTCTTACAAAATTATATTCTTTTCCATACTAAATCGGCTCAGGACTTGAGAATAATTCCCCATTCTTTTTAATTCTTTCACAATTATTTTCTTTCACACGCTAATAGACTCGCTTGGCTTTAAAATAATTTCTCACACTTTTCAAATTAATAATTTCATCAAATTTACAGTAACAATATAATAATTTTAACTAAAATAATACAACAATGAAAGTTAATAATAACCGTCGTGATAAATCATAATAATTGTTTCTATTAATTTTTAAGTAAATAATAATAATAGACAAAAACTCCTAACACGCAAATAAAGTCACCTTCGTCACAAGGTAGATAAGTTCTGCTAGCATATTAATATATTATGCAAATTTAAAGTCAGTATTTTATTGTTCAGAGATTGCAAAGTATTTTCTTAAACAGAAAATCTTTTTTAATTGAAGACAATAATTTAAAAAATTGTAGAAGAATTAAGAAATAAGAAAATGATATCATTGTTGATTTGGTATGGAATGCTGGATAAGTATTTGTCAATTAAAATTCCGCAGTACTATTGACCCTGCCAGCTATTCCTGAAACTCAGTAGATTATTGAGGTATTCAAGCTTGGAGAAATCGATTTCGATATTCTTTAAAGCTGTTTATGATTGAAAATTTAATTTAATTTTTTAAACTAATCAACCAATTTCGAATCAATTTGCTCTATTCGCTTCAATTTTTAGGAGTAGAGCTTATTAATTGCAGGAATTAATTAGCAGGTCGTGAGAAAGTTATTTCGGAAGAACAACCTTTTTTTTTCATATTTTTTTATTAAAATTTTTTAAATCTATTTAAGTGAATTTAAAGTTTTTTTTAAGTATATTTTGAACTGAATAATTTTTCTAAAAATGTAGATTTACGTAAATTATGTATAGTACTATTGATAATATATGCACCAGTATATTTACAAATAATTCGAATCCATACATTTAGAAAATACACGACTATGCTTGCTATAAAGCTGATCAGTGCGTTGCAATTATTATGACAATTGTATTTTCTTAAGGATCTATCGATCGGCGATTCTGATGTAAAAAATTATTGCTTTAATAAATATTATGTTTTCAATTATATTTATCCAATAATAACATTAGAAAAATAAAAACAAAAAAAAAATTTTTTTCAAATTTTTTTTAGATAACTTTCAAATTTTTTGATCAACCAACTTAAAGTCTTGCATATATTTTATGTGTTTATATAACTGTATCAAGTATTTTGAAATATACTTTTTGATTTGTGAAAAATAGTATAACCTAATTTGTAAAGCTTACTTGAGAAGATAAAATTGTGTAAATAAGAAGTTTAATGATACGGAACCTAAAATGTTGTAGGGTTTATGGTTATAGAACCATTAAGCGTTGAATGCGATGATATACTACTCGAATAGTGATAGAAGTGCAGGAGTTGTTAAGCTACTGTAGTGACAATTGAAAAATGACCGTATATATCGTTGTAAGTTGAGCGTATGTAAGCCGGATGCTTTTAGAGATTTTAATTGGCTCGGGAAGCAATTTTATACGTGGGATAAAATGCCAAACTTTTTTCATAAACTAATAGAGATTGAATAAAATACTACGAAACATTGAAAAAAAAAAAAAAAATATTTTGAAAACTGAAATTTTTTCGAAACATTTACAAATCTTCAAAGAACGAGCAGTTTTTGACAAAAAATTAACAAAAAGTGAGTTAAAAAATCGAAGATATTTGAATCCCATCTTGAATAACAGCTTAAAAATTTTATTTAGTAGTCTAATGAAACATATATTTTTTCGAAAAAAAATCAAAAATGGGATTATGATAAGTTGATGATGACGAGTTATGAATTTTTTAACCTTGATATACCACTATTTTTTTGCAATTGTTAAAAATTCATATCTTAAAAACATTTGAAAATTAAGGGTTCAAAATTTACAGGTAAGCGCTTTTTGATACAAACAAAAAGATGGCAAAAATTCAGCTAAATAAAACAATGTGATTTTTTAAATCCGGTGATTCCGTATGGAATGACCCATATATTATAATGTGATTCAAAAAAGTAATGTATCGAATTTATAGCTTAAAAACGATTCACATACCGCGAAAAAAACTCTCCCACTTGTAAAAAATTTTAGCTCAATATTTAATTTGTCTCTGCACAGAACTCCGGAAGAAAGTAATTCGATAATGAATTAAATGCATGAATTTTTAGTAAATTTTCGTAAAAAATCAAATTGATATTCCAATTGTAATCAAGCAATAGTTTACTTTTAATGCTTCCAGTAATCATTGTTTTTTTTTTTTTTTAATCTATGTTAGAAATCAGGCCATCGATCCATAGAAAACGCGCTCACCTCCGTCAAATAAAAAGCAACATATTTGTCAAAAATAATCTCCATATTTTATTAAGGAGGTCCTTTCGCCGCCAATGTAAAATAAAAAATATTAGATTATAAGTAAATTCAATTTTTTTCTAATAGTTAAGGTCCTTATTTATCTAATAGTGAGGTTTAAATTATACTTTACCGGACAAATTTTTGAAAAAATAAAATTTTTAAATGCTAGTATTTGTTCAGTCTTACGAGAAAGTCAGGCGTTTGCAGTATTTCTCGAATTATACTATCAGTCATGGATTAGATGAAGTAAAAAAAAACTAAAAATTAGATTTTCGAAATATTCAGGTTTCTTTTTTTGCAATAAAATATATCAGTTACCGAGATATTTATTGAGAAATTAATATTTAAAAATCACAAAAAATTCTCAAGTAACCTACATTAAAATAGAATCAAAACATTTGGCAACGTTGCGTAGCGCGCGAGCTTCAGACCATTCAATAAATTAAAACTAATTCATTTATTTACACTGACTGCAAAAACTTAAACGTGGTTAAGGTTATATTGTGAAAATGAAAATGTAAACAACCGAAGTACAGCGTTGCCAAATCACGGACAGGTTACTAGCAGCTGATTTGAAAGAGTCAAATTAATTTTTGTATTTAACTATTTTTTTTTTTATTTCTAAAATTTCAACGATTAATGCCTCATATACTATTTGTTATTTAATTTTAGGAATTTTTATGGGTTTTTTATTTTAATTTATCGTATATTGACTACTACAATTGTTTTGACTCAACTGGAGCGAAAGGATTTCCTTAACTTTTATTTGTGAATTTTATTTATAAAAACTATCAATTCTCTTTCTTTTTTGAAGATATTCTATCTTTCATTTATATTCTATACCCATAAAACTAGTTATGGAAACGTCGGTGAGATAATCAAGTAATGTGGAGAAAATCGACTATCAACGTATTTTGTTGTTTTCAATCTATAGATAACTAAGTTATATTATCAATGTTCTTTTATCACCAGTCGTTCTGCTTTTATTTCAGAAAGCATTTATTCTTCACAACGAATTGATAAAATGAGATTAAAGTCGGTGTCGCATAGAATAATAAACTGCAATAACGAACTTGAATTCTACAAAAATATTCATGTGATTTATGATAGTATAAATTATTAGTGTTTCAATGAATTGGAGCATCGCTAGACAAAGACTCTGTCAGAATGTAGTCCTTGAAATTAATATTCAGAGGAAGCGCTTCGCAAATTTCTATTCCTCATTTAAATAACATAGACAAATTTTTCTCTTAACTTTAGAATTTTGTAACTTGATAACGAGTCTCGATACGAAGATTATTGAAATATGTTTTTATAGGAAATTGATCGCTCAACAAAAAAAACGCCATTCGGCCACACCCGAAATGGAAGGTAGATTTCACTGAATGAAAATCTTGATAAAAAAAATATAAAAACATCTTAGAAAAAAAATAGGATTTTATTTTATCGGCTCCGTAATATTCTCCGTGAGTAAAATTTCGGAAAACTAATTCTTGACTGACCTGTAGTTGAGAAAAAGCTTTTGTCTCTAAATTTTATAGCTTCAGTAATATCATAAATAAATATATAATAGATAAATTAATAAGCGTTAAAATTAAGAATCTGCTACTTTTATAACTGCTGAGTTTACAAACGGCTATTTTAATTGTTAACAAAATTTAGCATTCACTTATTTCATGAATCGCAAAGTTTACTATTGGCTGAATTCGCGTGGCTAAGTTTTGAATTGGCAAAATTCACGATGCACCAATTTTAACAAATGTCAACATTAATAAATAAAACTAAAAATTCCAATATATTATTATTATTTATTGGTTCAAGTTGTACAGTTTTTAACTATTCTACATAAATTGCTTTACTTATTTACTTCAGTACTTATCTATGACTAGGGAACAGTTTTACATTCATAACATAATTATATCAGTTGCTTCAGAAGCTACTTTCAAATGAGTATATATTTTATCTTAATGTAGTATTTATTGCACTGCGTCTGTTTACTCATCTCTTTTTCCGGCTCTCTCGATTGCTGCGATCAGACTGCATACTTCTCGTACTGGAGGACCTCTCAAAAGTTCTTTGACTAAGAAATCCAGATCTGCCTCATATTTATTTTCTGTCAAAGACTGGATTACTTGCACTGTTTTTTCACTGCATAAGTTTCTGGCTTCTCTGCACGTTAACAGATGAGCAAGTGTTTCCTGCTGACTATTACAGATACGACAGGTCCAGTCTTTGAATCCTTTCTTGAAGCAACGTTCAACACTGCCACATCTTAGTCTGGCCCACACTTCTTTCGTCCAGCTTTCACCAGTTTTATCCTTCCAGTAGTCCTCGCAGTTTTCTGTGGTCTTTATGAACTTGTAGAGTGGGCAGTAAGTTGATTTAAACACCATTTCTCTGGTCTTCTTCTCTTCTAGAACTCGTAGTACTTCAAAACCTTCGTCTAGCCTTTGCTGCACCTCGTCTGGGTCATGTTTTCTCCAGATGAGCTCCAGTACGTCCTCACATTCCATCAACTCTAGCGTTTGTACTACTGCTTTACCCCACTTGGACGGTTTACCATTCATTATATTTCTTACTTCTTCTCTAAGACATAGCTTAGGCCACCTGCTATCCTCCATCCTCAGAATGTCCACTAAGTATCTGCTGGCTCTCTTTCTTGTCATGAACAGGCTGCTCTCTACCCCAGCTTCCAATCTCCAGATATACTCTGGTGTATTTTTGGCTACACCAAGCGCCATTTTGTGTGCTCTTGCATACAACCTATTGTAGTCCTCATTGAAGGGCCAACCCCACACTTCAACACCATAGAGTGCTCCTGAATTTGCCAGTGAGTTATACAGGTGGAGCCTCTTACTTAGCGTTGCTCTTCCTGCTCTTTTGATAAGTCCCCACGTCGCGTTCATCGCTTGCTGCGTCTTGCTTACTAACCATTTAGTGTGTTTCTTGAAGGAACCTGAGGCTGTACACCAGTATCCTAGATATTTGAATTCTGAGACTACTTCCAGTTTTTCTCCCTTGAAGCTTCATTCTTGTTCCTCAACCTCTCTGCAGCCAGCTTTTACTATCATGATCTTTGTTTTTGAGGCATTAACTACCAGGTCGTTACCATCAGTGTATTTTTCTAGCTCTTTAAGCATTTGTTTCAACCCTTTAGCTGTTTCTGCAACTAGGCACATGTCTGCATACTTGATTATGTAGTATTTCTTACCGCCCATCACCGTACCACCAATACCTTTTGTACTCCAAATTTCATCTACGTCATCAATAAATATATTAAAAAGGATTGCACTCAGTGCACAGCCTTGTCGCACCCCTTCATACGATTCAAAGATCTCAGTGTCTATTTGGTTCACTGTTCTGCTACATATTGTCTTAATCATTTCAAACATCCTTCCGTTAATGCCAATTTTGTTCAGTTTACTGAAGAGTTTTTCTCTGCTTACACTGTCGAAGGTGCACTTGTAATCCACGAAGCAGTAGAAAAGTTTGCCTCCTGGTTGTCTCAGTTTATTTTGTGCAAGCGCATTAATCACGAAGATGTGGTCTCTGGTGCCTCTTTTGCTACGGTATCCGGCTTGACTCTTTTTCAGTAGCTTGTTCTTTTCCATCCATCTGTTCATCCGTCTGGCCATCATGTTGGTCAAGATTTTATATCCTGCAGTTAGTAGTGATATTCCCCGATAATTGGTTGGCATGTCAGGGTCTCCAGCTTTGAAGATCGGTACTATTATTGCTGTATCCCATTTTTCAGGGAGTTTACAGTTTTTCCATATGGTGTTCAGTAGGTTAAGTAGCTCATTCATTCTTTCTGCAGGAATTGCTTTTAGAAACTCTATTGTTATTCCGTCTTCACCGGCTGCTTTTCCATTCTTCATTTTACTGAGTGCTTCGTGTAGCTCTATCTTCGTGAACTCAGCATCAAGATCTTCATCTCTTATTATTCCAGCAGGTTCAGCATTTTCTTCTATATTGCTTCTTCTATGCTCATACTTATCTGGCGTTGAGTTTTTGCTGTTTAGTATCTTCTCGAAATGTGTTTTCCACTGCTTCGCGCTAATATTTTCACTAGAAGTACTTCTTTTGTTTCCTCGGAAGTAGTTGACTTTGTTCCACCACTGGGACATGTCTCGTGTTTTATCCAGATCCTTCCATAGGGCTTCCCTCCATTTTCTCTCTTCATCATTGCAGGTTTCTTTTAATTTCTTTCTGCTGTTTTTCAGCAGTTGCTTGTTTTCCTCGCATTTATTTTTCAGGAACTTTTTGAGGTTCACCCATGTTTGTTTCTTGGCTGTTTTGCATGCTTCATTGTACCAGGGATCTGTGCTTCGTGTCTTAGTCTTCTTTCTTTTCTTGTACATGCCGCAGTTTCGCGCGGCGTTCATCAATAGCGCTTTTAGCTGTGGCCAGTCTACAGGGTTTTCTTCTAAGTCAAACCACTCCCATCCTTCTCTTATGTACTCTGTATACTCTTCTTGTTTATCTGCGCACCACTTTAGTTTTTCTTTGCTCAATTCACTGCGTTCTTTTGCCTGATCCTGGTCCTGGATATTCAGTAGTTCTCCTTTTAGAGTCATTGCTACTGGTAAATGATCTGACTCTGGTCTGGCCTGGATTTGCAGACTGCTTACTTTATTTAGTGCATCTGGTCCAAGGCATATTACTAGATCGAGTACTGAAGCACACTTCATCTTTACCTCCTACAAAGGTGACTTCACCAGTTAAATCTCCATCGACTCGTCAGTTTGCAATGTACAGTCCCCATTCCTCACATATCTTCAGCAGCTTCCTACCTTCAGTATTAATAGTTTTGTCCTGCGATCTTCTTATCTCACCTACATGCTCTTCCCATTCACTGTCGATGTATCCAGTTTCCTCACCGACTCTCGCATTGATGTCCCCGATCACATATGTAGTTTTGCCAGATTTCACAGCTTCAAAAAGCTGTTCTTCAAGATCTTTGCGAGCTACGTTAAGTCCAACATTATTGTACATTGTTATTATTTTATACTTATCAGACGTGGACAGTAGTCCTAGCTTCCACTCTTTGACGCTTCAGTTTTTGGACATGCTGTTCCTTATGCCAAGAAACTGTCCACCGCTTGCTCTGCCTCTGATATTCTTTCGCTTCACTGCGGCCTTGCACCACCAGTGATACTTATTATTTAGCGATTTTATCGTTTTGTTTTGTGCTTCCTTGGTTACCCACGTCTCCTGTAAAATAATTATATCAGCAAGTTCTAAAAAGTTATCTGCATACTTAGCGTTTTTAATTCCTGCAATATTCCATAGTATAATTTTTATTTCTTGTTTACTGCTCTTCATGGCTCCGAAATGGCTGCTGCATTAAGTCACCCTTTAGGTCCTCCCATCTTCCTATCTTCTAAGTGTATTCTACGCATCTATCTGCGCTGTGACACCTTCTCACCGGAATAATTGTCCTATCCAGAGACTCATTGTTTATGATCCTGATGTCCTGCGATCCTCCTTTTTTTGGTGTACTGCTAACTCTGCTAAAGTTGCTCCGTCTATTTGGTATAGGTGTCAATACATATGGACGCTCATTGTACTCTGTGATATTATTCAGACTGTCATCCAGAAAATTTGGTATACTACCGTTGAGACTATCCATTTCCAGTGTCTCTATCCCGTTACTCGTCCATGGTTGCAGAGGTTTTTTGAGGAATTTATTAATCTTTTGCGTGTTACCTGCTCTTATATCTTTTTCTGCTTTTGATTTTCTTCCTCTTTTTTTCAGGCTCGCCTGACTTCCATATTTGTTGTCTCTTACTTCTTGGCTGATGTGATTTAAATTTGCCGCCTTCGAGACACCCATTGCGCCTGCGCTGCTTATTTCTGTTGTCATTATTCTATTTGTAGGTTATATTTTTCTCCAGTGAAACTTGATGCGAGATTAAAAATATATAATAATGAAAATTATCAGGAACTTGGACTATAAAAAATAACTCAGTGTCAAATTTTTTAAATGTTGCAACGTTTCGTTGTATTTCACAACTTCATCAGGCAAACTGTACAAAAGAAAACACATTGTTAATAACAATATGACAAGGATAACAAAAAGATAAATATTAAAAAATCTTAAATTTAAGGTTAACACTGTTGTATCTCAAAATAAACTCCGAAAAATTTCATCGTTTTACAATATATAAATAAAGTTGAACAAGTGGTAACCATAATATTAAAAAAACTTAGTCAATTTCCATTCCATTTAAACAAATTAGTCAACAATAATAAGCTATAAAATTACAATAATTACATTCAAGACAGACAGCAACAGACTGAGTGTAAACAACTGCAATGGTAAAAACAGTTGTGCTTCTCCAATCTACTATGCCGACTCTCAATTTTGAAATGATTATGATTTAAAATATTAATTAATACAAATAATCTCAGTCAAATAAATAAATAAAAATTATCTTAAAGTAATCCCTATAAAAAATTCTTACTATTTCATTTTTTACAAAATCACCTTTCAAAGAAAAATATTTTCCAAGAGAAAAAAATTATTATTGCATGAATCTTTTAGCCACTGATATGATGTCACTGTATGATGAACTTAACCCCTGAGTATCAGACCTAAAGTTGACGTAATCAAATACTTTAATGAAAAACATCTCACTGATGTTACGTTTTAGAAAATGAGATTCATAGTCTAAAATATGAGCAGCGTCAAACTGAAAGTCATGCCCGCTCTCAAAGTGATGATCCGCCAATGCCGTCATGTTACTCTTGTTAATGTTGACAGGTCTGCAATCGTTGATGTGTTGATTAATCCGCTTCTTAAGTTTCTGCTTCGTTTGTCCTATATATGATTTGCCACAAGTACAAGGGATCCGATACACCAAGCAAGATCTATCCCACTTATCAACTGGATCTTTTAGATGACTATAAAGATCTTTGATTTTACACAAATTGTAAAAGACTAATTTACAATTAGTCTGCCTGAACAAGCATCCAATCCTGGGTGACAAACCTTTAATATAGGGAAACTTACAGAACGATCACCCTCTCAAACCAGCCTCAATCCTCAAATTACTATTAATTCTATCATTAGTAATTTTCTCACACTTCCTGAGAAGAGATGACGGATAGTTGTTGTTCATGAGCAAGTGTTTCACTTTACCAGTACTTACAGCCACCATATTCACATGACTTAGACGTATGGCTCTGTTAAAGAAACCTTGTGCTACACCTAGCTTCTGGCTCTGAGGATGATTTGATTTGAAGTTCAGAACTCTCCCCGAACTATATGGCTTTTGATACCATGAAGTTCTGAGTTCCCCAGATCCTGTTCTTTCCACCAACACATCCAAATACGGAATTTTACCATCTTGTTCAACTTCAATTGTGAATTGGATGTCTTTATTAATTGAATTGAACACCTTTACAACCATATCAACTTTATCCCTTGGTGTAATGAGAAAGAGATCATCCACATATGCTGCTACAACCGGAATTTCAAAATCTAACTTCTCCAGGGCTTTTGATATCACATAATCTACTGCAGTGACGGCAATCACGGGACTTGCTGGACTACCCATCCCGCATCCTTCTTTCTGTATATAATAATTCCTTTGAAGCAGGAAATACCCAGAGTGAAAACAAAATTTCACGAGATCTAATAGAAGATCTTGGTCCAAATTGATAAAATCTTTTATGACATCCTATTAGATCTCGTAAAAGACTATGAATCTCATTGTCTAAAACGTAACATCAGTGAGATGTTTTTCATTAAAGTGTTTGATTGCGTCAACTTTAGGTCTGATACTCAGGGGTTAAGTTCATCATACAGTGACATCATATCAGTGGCTAAAAGATTCATGCAATAATAATTGTTTTCTCTTGGAAAATATTTTTCTTTGAAAGGTGATTTTGTAAAAAATGAAATAGTAAGAATTTTTTATAGGGATTACTTTAAGATAATTTTTATTTATTTATTTGACTGAGATTATTTGTATTAATTAATATTTTAAATCATAATCATTTCAAAATTGAGAGTCGGCATAGTAGATTGGAGAAGCACAACTGTTTTTACCATTGCAGTTGTTTACACTCAGTCTGTTGCTGTCTGTCTTGAATGTAATTATTGTAATTTTATAACTTATTATTGTTGACTAATTTGTTTAAATGGAATGGAAATTGACTAAGTTTTTTTAATATTATGGTTACCACTTGTTCAACTTTATTTATATATTGTAAAACGATGAAATTTTTCGGAGTTTATTTTGAGATACAACCGTCTTAAATGTAAGATTTGTTAATATTTATCTTTTTGTTATCCTTGTCATATTGTTATTAACAATGTGTTTTCTTTTGTACAGTTTGCCTGATGAAGTTGTGAAATACAACGAAACGTTGCAACATTTAAAAAATTTGACACTGAGTTATTTTTTATAGTCCAAGTTCCTGATAATTTTCATTATTGTTTATAAATCATGGATGATAATCGTAGTCATAATTTAAAAATATATGTAGCGGCTCTATGTAGAGCTATCTACGATTATTATATTATGCGTTGTTGTGGTTTTTGAATGTAGCGGCTCTGAAACAGAGCTTATCTACGAAGATTGTGTGTTTTGTGTTTGACTGTGTAGTCAGAGAGTTGGAAGAAGGGGGAAAGGTAGAAAAGGAATTTGATTGGGTAAGGCGTTTCGTGTAGACAGTGACACACACTCATCAGCGAGGCCTTTCGTGTCACTGTCTCGGCCCAGGACGCCTGTGGAGTAGGAGATGGAAATTGTTATCCACTCTTATAATTTAGATGAAAAATATGAAAATATATCATGTAAGAGCAAACTATTCGCAACGTGATTGGTCAAATATATCATAAGCATGAAAATATAGATAATTCCATACCAACAATCACACGCGCGCTTGCGCGCGCAACGTATACTAGTATATTGAAACAGGCGTGAGGACGAGCGCTTGTGAGAGGCAATGATGTTAGTGCCATCTCGCAGCTTGGAGTCGAACCCTATATATAATTTTACTTGAATTTAGGGCATTTATTTACCAAAAGTACAGATATTATTTCTAGATTCTTTTTAGAAATTACGCACTCGGTTTTACTGTTTTACAACCAATGTTATACTAAAAAATAGCCTGAAACACTCTGTCATGATGTGCACCTCACGCGGGTTACCGACCGAATCCAAAAATTCCAATATAATTGACTTCGAATATTCTTTTACGGATTAAAAAAATTAAATTTTACATACAATTTCTATTAAATTCATCATGAAATTCAGCTAGAATTCGCCCTGAAATTCATGATCTTTTTTTGGTTTTTCGCTCATAGCTTTTACAGAAATGGTCCATATTCAAAATTTTGGTCTTTTCCTGTGCATTTGAAAAAGGAATAAAAAATTTTTTTTTTTTTAATTTTTCTGTTTTTTATTAATTTCATAATTTCAAAAGCTTTTTCTGAAAGTCACGCATATTTTGATTTTCCTGAAAATTTGTCACAACATACTACTATATTTTCCACAACTTTTAATTGTATTTTATTTGATTTAAATAAATGCTAAAATTTTATTAATATCTGTTATACTTGGTTGATCAATATCTAATGATAATGATTAAAAACAAAATATCATAAATAAAATACATTGTATAAACGAAAATGGCGTGGATAATTTATCAGCAATAAACGTTCAAGGTCACGCAGTAGAGATATTTATGGTGTTTTTTCAAAGTAAAGCAGACGCTATTTACAGCTTGATATTACTTACTTATTGCCAGACTGGTCACGAGATAAAGCTAGGATGTATATGTGCTTGCGAGAGATATAACAAGAAGATAGGTAAATAGACAAAGAGAGGATACTAAAGTATAAGAGAAAGATAGAGAAATGAAGGTTGACGATTATAGTTTAAAAACAAGAGAAGTGTAGAGAGAAACATTGAGAACACGCTTGACCGATATTCGATGTATACCGAGGGCGACGTTGAACTTGCCTCTTATGGATCACCTATTCACTCACCCTCATGTGTATAGATTTTCTGTACTTTATATATAGTACTGAGGTATATAATAACTAGATGGAGTTTATAGTTTGTACTGGAGGCCGTTACGTATTTCTCAACACAAACAAATCATTGCTTGCATTGCAGTTATGACGTCACGGTTTCTTTTTACTTTCTTTATTTTTACTCGTTTATTTAAAGAAGAAAAAAACTGAATGAGGTAAAAAGAGTTAAACAGTTCAACGATTGAATTTCCGCATCTTATTCACGATTACTCTACCAGCCATCAATAATTTTTTTTTTACACGGAAAAAACGGTTATTTTGAACCAAGAAAAATGTTGCCTTCAATTTGGTACATTTGACTCAAAATTGTTCTGCTTCCTTATTATCGTATTAGTAAAAAATCAAAAAGTTACTTTTTGATTAATTAAAAAAACTTTTGCAAGAAGAAGCAGAAGTCTTTTGAGCTAACTTTTTTTGTTTTCATCGAAAATATTTAATCTTTACTCAAATAATTTTTTTCTTGGGTCAAAAATTTATCCACTTTACAACAAGAGATATAATTTCGAACCGAGATAAAAATATGTTTCTCCGGAAGAATTCAAATTTAGGACGTTTGGAACTTAATTTAGAGCTAGCTTTTGCTAATTAGAGCATTAAAGTGAAAATCGCTCCTACCCTCACTAAGAATTGAACTCGAGCCACGCGCTTGATAAACCGATACCTAACGCCATACGCTGTACGGCCGATAGGTCAGTTTCCGTATCATCATTGTGATAAGCTATTTTATTTTAATTTTTTTAAGAACACATCGATATTACAGATGTTTAATCATTTTTTGAACTTATAAATTTTCAATTTTATTATTTGCAAAATAATATTTATGAATCAATGAATATTAACTGTTTAAAATAATATTACTTCATAATTAAGATCTACTAACAAATGATTATTATTATTACTATTATTTTTACTTGTATACCTCTTGGTTTTTACAAGGCAGTTAACCTTTCATGCTCTCCACTTTTTGTTCACTCTAATTATCAAGTATATATATAACCTTAATACTGTTATATCAGGCCATAACAGGGCCTCCCGACTAGACTTTTTCTCTCTGCATATATTGTTTTTGCGGCTGTGGGCTGACTTGTGCTTTCTGTACTGCATTCGCTCTATTCTTCACTTCTTTCTAGGCTCTTGGAATAGTGACATAGGGAAACCACAGAGAAAACCCATGTCAGTACGGTTCGGCTACCGGAGCGACAAATGATTATTATTTAACATCTAAAAGTTAAGGAACTAAACAATCAAAATTACACCTCAAATGGATTATGGATTTGAGTCAAAATTTATGGTAAACACTAATTACTTTAAATAAGATTACTCAAACCTGGCTGATTTATGAATAATGAATGGGCAAAGCAGGGATACTCGGCTTGGACCCAAGCTTGGCTTTTCATTAAAGGGCCAAAGATAGATTACCTCATGGTGGTTCAAGCGTGGGTTCTCATTGAAGAGCCAAGGTTAGGCTACCCAGTCTTAGCCCAAGCTCGAGTTGCTATTGAATTGCTGAGGTTGGATTATCTAGTCTAGAAATGGCCTATGCTCGGTCACCCAGTCTTGATTCAAGCATGGAGCAATATAGGTCCGCCAAATCTGAGCTTACCAGTGCTAGAGTCCAATTATGGCTCTGACACCAGTTAAAAAAGAAGAGATCTACTTTGACTACATTGAACTTTCGTCCTGGTGATCGGAAAGAAAAAGTGTCATTTTTCTTCCGGATCAGCGGGACGAAAGTGCGAACTTTCAGCCCGATAAAAGAAAAATGGTTCTCATGATAAAATTGAAAGATTCACCACAAATACTTAGTAAGAAACTAAAATTTTGATATTTGATTAGCTGATGGGACAACCTTTCTTATGCCAAGAAACAGGATCAATATCAACTCAAAACTTCAAAATTACAAAAACTTTGATGAGTTTTCGAATATTAATAAGTACGTGATATAATAGTAACTCCAGGTTAAACTTGAGCTTAACTCGATTTCTACGAGCTACAATTACGCATAAATGGCTATAAGTTATAAGTATAATTTTCTTACAAAAGTATTAAGCTAATTTTCTACTTTAGGTTCAGCCCATGTGTAAGTTCAGAACTGGATTCAATGCATATTCACTCTATCCTATTTGCACATAACAGAAAATTTCATTTACTTTAACTAGCTCTTTTACACCTATAAATAGAAATTAATGATTTGACTTTAACAAATAAACGAGAACTTTATTATTAAATATCTTCATACTATCCAAGTTACCATCTCACTTAGTAATTCTTCCCACGATCGTATCAAGGTTTCTGGAAGTAAGTGCTTAAGATAGACAATAGCGAAATTGGGTAGTTCGAAAATAGTATTCTTTTTTGATACTTATGTGTTTGATCGTCTAGCCTCAGATTCTTCTGTAAACAAGGCACGTCAATAACTGGATTTTCCAATATCTGACAATTTATAAAAATAACAAGCTATATAGTACAAGTAGATTCTGCGATATTTGATGGAAAGCTACCCCAGTTATCATCGATAGGGAGTTATAGGCTTATCTTGTTTGAGATCAAAAATAAAACAAGTAGCTATATTTATTGTTCGTTGCAATTTTAAGTTGTTTGTAGACATACACAGTTTATAAACATAACAATACA